ATGTATTCTTACTTTTTACCTTGAAATCAATGAATAGTTTTGTTCTGTAAATACTTTTATCAAGCCAAATAAATGAATATTTGTAAGGTCTTGTTATCAGTTTTCATGTAGACCAATAGGAAGTGAACAAGTGTATAGTTAACGCTGGAATATTATCATACTACTTTTAAGGATATCACTAGAATTCAGCAGATTACATCTCAAAAACATATTCTGTTTTATACATAGTCTGATTTTTAGAAAAATACCCTAAAATATATGATACATCAATTATTCAATCTAATCTTATAATTAATTCAATCATAAATGTTCAACATTTGGATTTGACAAAGAATTTATGAAGCCTACTGACATAAAATAATGTATAGTAATTTTGTTGGAAATTTTTTACAATTCATCGGTAATTTATATCATAATATAATGTTATCAACAGTATAGGATTATGATGACTGTTGAATTTCATTGAAATTATGAGTTGATCTAAGTTAGTCAGCCATTGAAAATCTGCAAGCACTGGATGTGCTTCCAATGAAACTCAACAAACTTCACAATCGCATACAGACAATTATGATGTGCTCACTGGTGTCTAACATCGAGGTTGAACTTCATGAGTATCGGTAAAAATCTCTCACTAGTTGAGCTAAACGATGTCGGATGTGAAAAAGATACCCACTGGATGCAACTGAAGATCGTCAGACAATGTCGTGGATTGATTGCTGTTAGATTCGTATACCACCTATTAAGAGATTTGGGCATTCGTGTGAGAGACCGCAGGACCTAAGCTCAGTTCCGGGTTGCAGCGCCATTGATGTGCACAGTTAAGGAGTTCCATACTAGAAAGAAACGACCGTTTAGTATCTTTAGGTTTCTAATGTTGTCTCACTTAGATCGGTTCGTGATTTAAATATTGAGTTTAGTTCAAAAATCAATAAAAGTTGAAGCGCATTGAATAGTTCTTTATTTGTGACGTTTCAGCAGTAATCACCACGAACCGTATGACTTAAATATCTCGCTAGTAAATCAATTCAGGATTGTCGACTAACACATTGTTAAATAATCTTGAAATAACATAAAATAGCTAAATAGTTCTTAGGTTTCTGTGACTCCATATGGGATACAATTTTATCATGAAAATATTTGTACAAGTTATTTTTGCTATCATTAATCTGATATTAAAGATGAATATAAAGGAGTGAGGAGAAAAGTGCAGATAGACAAATATATAGTCAATAATTGTTTCTTATAGATTACCTTAATTATTCGCTTGACTTAAGAAGTACATTCTTTGACAACACTAGTTTGACATGCAAAAGTGAGTAAACGATACCATCAACTGCAAAAACTACAATCAACACTTAGATCTTAACAGTTCAAATAATTAACTAATCTCACCATTCCATTGGTTCAAGTTCATTGGTTCACCATTCCAAACTAAGCCTATAAAAGGCGTTTCTTGATAGCGTAAAACTTTACGGCAGTACGTATCCATGACCTTATTGGGAATCAAATACAAAACCATTGGTCTTGCATGTGTATACTTAACCTTCAGATCACCTTTACGACATACAACGGTTTAAATGATTAACTATCATTTCTATTGGCGCAAAATCAACTTCCAAAGCACTTGGTGAGTAACTGCCTCAAATTCAACATGGTTGAAGTGCACTAGTATTGGCTTCTTAAAAGAATACCACAAATTGTAGTCTGAAGATAGTTATTGGTGCTAGTTGTCTCCACAAACCTGTTGTAGGAATGCCTACATTTTGTCCGTCAAACATCCCTTTATTTAGCTATTGTTAGACTGCTAAATGTTTTAATACCTTCATATGAATATTAAAAATCAATAATATCCAAGCCTAATAATCGAAGTCACTGTTAACAGATCGATCAATTAAAAAGTCACCATTTTGTCTATTAGGTTATTCTGTAAACACTCACAGTAGGCATAATTCCGACATTCGCTTATTCACATACCTAATATTTTTTAAAAATACTTATACTGTTATTTCAATGAATATTCCTAACTAGTTTTTATTTCGCTTGATAGAAAACAAAATATGACTGATTAATACACTTATTTATAAAACTAAAAGTAGGATATTATCTTAAAGAGGCTGATTATTAAAAAATCCACTTTAAAAGTACAGTTTATCACGCAAGCGTGAGTTACTAAGAAGAACAAATGAAAAATGATTATTTAAATTTGATTGCAGAATTTTAAACAAGTTGAAAATGGATAGAATCAATGTGAGAAATTTACAGTTAAATAAAATTATGCAAGGATAAAACGTTTGTTATAATCAAAAACTGTATCATATCTGTCAATGAATTTATTTTTGCTATTTAAAGTGGAGATACGGAAAAACTACAACCAAGATCTGAGAGAGATGTCTGGGCACACAACCAAAAAGACCGGTTGAGTTTTTTGAAACGGCTTAATATTAGGGAATCGGTGGTGTTCGCTAGAAAACCAAATATGTGGATATAAGCCTCACACTCAGCATCAGTTTATACGATCACCAGAGGTGCGCCTAAAATAAATCCAGGCTCAAGGTTTTCTACTGACCATCTCTAATCACGTAATTCCCTAGCATAACGCATGTAATCCCAAAGCACTCAGACACCAGCACTGACCTTGTAAGTTAACTAACAGAATTTAATCAGCACTAAACAACTAAATAAACACGATATTGAACATTATTTCGTGTTCAGTCGATTGGTAAATGCTAAAACTCGGTAATTAAGATAGACTATTGTTTCGTTCACAAAAAAACAAAGAAAATTCAGCGTTTTATTTTCGACGATATCATTTACTTAAGCTTTACATTCGTATACATATTTGCATAGTAAATACAGACCTATAAAATGATAGAAAAGATTGTATCAAAAAGTGATTCGAAACTTTAATTATCTAGTGAGGTTACATAATAATCAGGAGTAGTAGATAAGAAGAGAAGAGTGAAAATGGTTATGATTCAGAATTATGAACGGTAATTGTTTGCTCCACAAATATGACAAGAATGAAAAGCACGAAGACCATAATAATAAGTAAATAATAATCATGAAAAATTGTCAAAAGATGATGATAACCACTGGTTACGGTATAAAATCACAAAACACTAATTTAAAGTTAAAAAAACAGGGAAAATAAACCAGATTATGCTACAGAAGGGAATTAGGGTCAGGAAAGGATGAAAAGTTAGACATATTGTTTTTGAACCTCAGAGTTTGATAATCTTAAACATCAAAATTAACAGAATAAACAGTAACATACTACAAAACTAGAGCTTCATACCTACTATATAATTTATATTTAGTATATTCTAAGGTTTGTTTGAAAATGATACCCTAGTTTTAAAATATTTTGTTAATTATTTTTACTCTGGATATTTTTTCTCAAATAGAATACTTTTTTCTTATAAATCATAAACTTTTTCTTGAAATATAAGGTTTTATGTGTTTTAATATTTTATTAAGTCGATCATTCACAAAACATTAGATATACATCAAATAATACTATTTGTTGACAAGATTATTGCCTATTCCCTCTGAACTTATAGTCTAATTTTCAATGAAAAAAACAATATAGGATCAAAATTGTCTGTAATACAATGAGCCATGAAAACGCACCAAATAACATCACGGAAAAACTTAGGTTTACACAGCTTAAAGCAATCAGCATAAATGGCTTCAGTTGCCCTCTTCCGTTTTTGTAACTGTGAAACTTTTATTCAACGAAAGCACTCTGCAAACAACACTGAAACAGGTCGTGTTGCAACCTAAAGAAGGCCATTCTTTATATTACAAATTAAAGGGATGCGCAACATATGAATAGATAATCATATCCAAATGTCTGCCTATCATTAGCTTACTTAAAAACAACCTTACGTACATTTCAAAGTAAACGAAGTTGGAATAGCACTACATTTGCTTTCCACCTTGGATAAAAACCTTTAAAACAACTATGAATTTACCGAAATCATTTCAAAAAGGGAATCTATAGTATTTTTTGCTACCTTTTTACATAAATTTCGACTCAAATGTTATATGAACCTGTAAAAAAGAAACATATACAAATTAGCGATTTGTTGGTGTCCGCACTGCGATGATGAAAAAGGTTCTGTACTTGTTCCTTTTACTCAGTGTAGTTAATTTTTTGGAAGTACCGTTTGGAAAATTACATATTGTATACATCAAAACTTAACTGCTTATAATGTATTGTTTGTCATTTAACACACCAGCATTTTGACGACTGTTTTAAAATACAATTTTTGAACTGTACAACACTCAATAATACGCGAATCCGAGTTTTTACGAACAAAATGAAATGAAAGCAAATGAAAGATATGAAGACAAAACATATTTTACATTTTAAATATCTTTCGGATTTGTAAGCATTTAGAATAAGAATGAACGGATATTTCGTTTCTGTTTGTTATGATACCAAATACATAGTAACTGTTTAAATTAAAAGGGGTTTACCTATGATCTTAATTGATATATTGTAATACTCTAAACACATCGCTTTGATAAACACCAATAGATATATTCAGACATTACAGCATAAGCATTATGAAACATTTAATGAAATGACTCAAAACAACTTCGTAACTATTTTATCAAATATTAATTAATAGTTCTACCAAGATATACAAACCAGCTATATGAAACACGCATTTGAACACTAAGACCGTCAAATCATTACTAAGAACGGATAAATTAGGTTCTAAGAAACCCCGAGTAAAGTATGGGCGATGAAAATACAGCCTCAAACAAGATATCATACGGAGCACTCATATCGAAAGGAATAAAAATAATTCGTACAGTTGCTAGTACCCCGCATCAAAATCACCCTTTATCCTTATCGATGCAGTAAGAGCTGAAAAAATAATCTAAAATATGTCATTGATCTTACGTTTTATATACAAAATCTTCATTCGATAACTCGATGCTTCGGAAATACAACGCAAAGAAGCGCTAAAAACTAAACTTAAACTTACGATTAGTGTCATAGGCCCCGAAAACCTGTATATTGCATTTGTAAGGTGTATACAATAGAAAAACAATGAAATCAATGTAGTCAAGATTGCGACGAAGAATAACCATCCTCCAGGGCCAGGAATGACGTAGTTCGGTGACACAGCAACAAGAATAATGAGTATAATATTGAGAATAATCTCAACGATTTTGAAAACTGCTGGTATTGTACTTGCGTAAGCTGTGTTAAGCGACATCGTAAATTAGAATTTGAAAAAGTGCGTACTTCTTTCTCGTAAGACTAAACAGTGTGGTGAGTTATAACAAATATACCACTAATCATGTGTCACAGTTGATTATAGTTCAAATCTTAGTTAGGCGAATATACTAACGCAGAAAAAATTTTAAGTCTTCATTTGCAGAAGCTAGCTCCGAAATCACTTATTTTCGCCATTTAAGAATGCTTTCTGTAAGTTGTTCTTGATTACTGGCTACATATCAGTCGCAATGAATTTCTAAAGAAAAAATTGATTAACGTTAACTTCACGCACTTTTACAGGTAATATCAGCGACGCATGTGTCAGCTCATAATGACAGGAAGTAATACAATACTATACTATACTATACTCTGAACAACTGTGTACCAGAAAAAATTCGGTTTTTAGCTCGAAAGGGTTAGAGGTTATTTTCGTTCGATTATCATTTGGGTATATCGTAGGGCTTTGTCGTTTTTTAGCAAAACAACACGTCTAGTTTACTAGTGAAAACATTTCTTATTTTCAAATTATCACAGACTCAGTCGTTTTGGTATGGTGTTCCGTGGTGTTTGTATGAACTAATTATTCTTTTTTATTTGACGTGTGCCTGATTTCAAATTCTAAACACAATACGTTCTGCTGTACTCAAACAGTTCTATTTGGTTAAAACTGTGCTATTTCTGGGATTCCGGGCTCGTGTAATAATTCGTCTACTAATTATAAAATTGGTTTCGTGATGGATCCTCTGATGAAAAAGCTGGACAAACACTTAAATTTTGGTGATTTAGAGGATTATGTGAAACTGTATGAGATCTGGAATACGGTCAAGAAAAAATGTTAAAAATGTCAATATTGTGGCTCATTTCCTTATACCCATCAGAAAGGAAACCTCCAGGCTAATAAAACCTTTGGCATTTCCAGAAAAGCTTATTTCACTTTCCTACGCAACTCTCAAGGAACTACTAACAAACCATGTAAGATGCTCAAATTTCTAGTGCGGTTAAAGAGGGCAAATTCGTAAAATGTTTCGTCAGGTTATCAAGAATTCCACTGAGGTACCACGCTTTCCCAATCGAGTTCACTGAGGAGTTGCGAAACAGGTCACGAGGATGAGCACAAGTTCCGTAAACGTTTGTTCAGTGTCAAGTTTCACTCACGTTATCTGCGTGCAATGCATAATGCAAAATGTTTCGAGTGTGGTAAAATTTGACACATTCAGTCGATTAACAATATTACTGTTACAGCTCGGGTTAATTATTTAAAAGTCGACCTCAAAAAACCAAGAATATGACAAAACAATAGAGCTCTAGTATTTATTCACTTCCTTAATTCGTATAGACATTATATTTCCTATTACCTTATATTAGATGTCGAAAAGCTTTGTGTGTTTGAATAGGTAACGCTCCACTGTAACTTTCCCACGAGCTGAATAAAGATCTATTCACCACTGGTCTGGTTTCTTCTATCAATAGCACGATGGTTACCTGAACGAAAATACTATTCATTTCGATGCAAGTAATGCTAAACTTTGTAATTTCGATCCTATTAAATTGAATGTTTCAAGTAAATCATATTAACATCAGATTAATGATATAATTTTACCACATATGCGTTGTTCCAGTGATTCATGTATTTCTAATGAAATTATTTACAAATATGTTGAAAGTATGACGAGTGCACTAGATGATGTTATTTTATCAGTAATGGTTTATTTTAATTATTCACTTAATTCTTGTGAAATTCTAATTCGATATGAGGAACGGGTTCTTATTAAGCTAAAATCTAATTACAGTCCTTATGGTGTTTCATCAGATGATATTGTTCTCACAATGAAGTTATCTCTGGTGATGTTACTAATGAATGTGACAAATATGTTTTGAATGGGTCATATTTCTTATGTTATTGCATCTAATGTCGGATATTTCCACGACCAATGTATGAAAAATAGGCTTCCTATTCAGTTATATAATGAACCGTTGGTAATAGCAAGTTTTTCCGAAACAGTCATCGAACCAGTCTACTCAGGTATGATGTTCACACAGGCAGAAAATTCACAGCATGAGAAGATAATGCAAATTGCAAACGTCAAATTGGTCATATCATTGCGACGTAAGGACTCTACATTATTTCGTGGCGGAGGATGGTGTTGGAAAGTCTATAGTTTCAGTTCTAAGTATCCGTGATTCCAGTACACAAACTACATGTTGGTCATGTAAAATTCCAGGACATTGGTGAGTCCGCTCTAATTTGAGCTGTTAATTCCGATATCATTGAGCATATCCTAATTCATACAGAATCTGTATCAAGTACACAGTTTGACAGACATACAATCAAACTAAGGAGAAGTTCAGTTGATTACAGAAACTTAGGTGGTGGTGTACTTGTATTGGTTGTGATGTTTGTATGAATTATTGATTCTTTTGTAATTGATATGTGCCTGACTTTGAATTCTAAATACAATACGTTTGGTTTCGCTCACCTAGTTGTATTCGGTTCAAACTGAGCTGTTTGGGGGATTCATAGTTGATACAATAATTCAATTATTTCTAATCATTATATGCTTGCGGAACTCAAACGGGTGAAATACCATTAGGCATTTCCGAGTTACTCCCATAAAGCAGCTTCATCTCAAAACTCAGCTGTCCATGCTATATTCATTAAACAGACGTTATGTAACAAAGACTAAGCAACTCAGTCGCAGTTATGTCTTCCGCATTAGAAAGATGTCAACTTTCCGACAAATACGCGCTTTAGGCCTCTAACAAGTCTAATCACAACAATTCCACAACGTTTTCATATTTTAGATTTCAGAGAAAATGCGTACTTAACGTGCTTCCCATGACCGGAATTCTGTTCACATTTAATAACTAATACTACATGGCGATAACACTGAACCGCAACTGCAAATCATTTTTGAAACCAAAAACACACTAAATTAGATGATTTACTTTAGTAGTTCAACATTTGAATAAACAAACTGATTGACAAGAAAGGTAGGTGTGAGAACAACTGCAGTGTGCTGCTTATATTGACATAAGTAGTATATGATGTTAGTCGTAAACAGAAGGTCTGGAAACAGGGAAACAAGAGGATCGAACAGCAAAGAATGGAACGAAAATGCAGTTCGTGTGAAAATGCAAGAACAATGAAGTCTGAGGCATTTTGAAACAATCGATGGACATTTTGCAAACTAAGCATTTACTTTATGATTGTTAGATTTTATTAACAAGTCCTGTAATTAAGTGTTAAATACATTCGATAGTCCCCACTGGTGTTCTTGTTCACTACACAACTCGGGAGAGTGTAAATGCTTGCGTGGAGTTCTGAATCTTATTGGTACTGAAATTTAATGCATTATGTCAGGTAGCTTTTTCATATATTCCAGAAGTTCTAGCAAAACCTACCACTGACTGCTGCGATAGAACCAGTCAGTATAAAAATTATTGACCTCGACGAAAGATCTTTTAGATTAGCCAAACACGTTATGACAATGAAAGCTTGGTTTTACTATCCTAGTACCATAGTGACATGCGCTATTTACACTCTTAGATCACACAACATCTGCACAGGACACTTTTATCGTTATGTGCAGGCCATTGCAACGAACTAACACATAAGCAACAATATGGATTATTATTATTATTCTGAGTCTTAATTCGAATCCACAACAGACTTCTACTTGAACCCCATAATGACTGTACTTATGAATAGCATATGGATTGTTTTTTGAATCGTCGAATCTAAATGATCTGTAAAGTTTCTCAAAATGGCTTTTGGTCACTAAACATTATTGACACTTCTCCATCCTGTACCATCAAATCTCAGGTATTAAGCCTGTTTGCAGAATGATAACAATATGTCGCAAGATCTGTAACATATCCCCCTGCACTAGAGGCTAACAACTGTGATAAGGGACCAATGAAAGTGTGGCGAGGGGAATCATATATTTGACAAAATGCTTCCACATTGTTAAGTCAAGGTAGTATGAGCTTGTAGTGAGTATTCTCCTATAAGATGAGTTTCTTGATGATTCTCAATATTAAGTTAACGGATAGAAATCAGCGCTACACGTAACGAATTAATGACGTGGCTGTGGTCGCATCAAACTGATTAGCCTAATAGACTAATTTTCACCGATATTTCGGCGGCCATCATCAAGTTCATAAGATACTGAAATATAATATGTCGTGGACACTGAATCTATTTTTATCAAAGCAGAAGACAATTTAAGATGTTGGACACTGTGCTCTACGGTTTTTCTCAAATATAGTTTAAGTCAGAACGTAAAAATGTCGGTAAACCGAAATGACATTCTGATCTGCTGTGAGAAGACAAGACTTTCACATAATATTGTTCAATCAATGTTGGGCTAGACGTGAAACAACCTAAGATATTTTCCCACTGAAGTTTACTTTCACATCTGTGAAATACTCGAAGAACAACTTGAAAAGTCTTCTCGTTGATTAATTACAGATATCTTTATTGAGAATAAATTATATTGTAATTAACTATCCCTAACACCGAACTAGAACTTGTGGACGAACAGTAACACATAAATCTGTTTGTTCAACATTTACAGTAAGTTCTTTCACTGACCCGATGTCAATTACAACTATCCGAACAAAAATAATAAAATAAATGTCATCATCATTTCGTTGGATATTCTCGTGGACTTTGGGTATTAGCCATGAATTGCAGATCCCACGTGACATCTAAAAACGAGCTCACAATATGGTGATGCTGGCGCCAGAGAACGTAATGTTAGCATAACGAAAAAATAAATGCGTCGACACTACTTCCTCAACAATACATTTTAAAGTTAGCATGAATATCATAAAATTTGTGGATCAGTCATTTTTCAAAGAAAAACTCATGAAATGGTGGGTACTTTTATTCTCGTTTGTTGAAGGTGGTATGTTAGAGTATATTTTTAGTTCTCTTTTCTTCAGGCTGAGTTGTATCTTATTCGCTTCTTTCATCCAGGGAATTTAAGATGCGCTACGTTGGTTTATTCAGGAAAGACGT